GAAAGAGCTGACGCTGCACTGGAGATTATAAGAGAATTCAAGTGTTTTTGATCTAGGATGCATGTGAACCAGTTGTAGAGACTCCAAAATAAAACTAGGAGTGTTTAATAGATGCACAAATTTAGGATTTGCACCTCTTGTAACACACACACACGTCCCGTCTCAAATGTTTAGTTCAGAGTTAATGCACTGGAAACGTTGCGTTACCTGCCGCCCGCTGGCACTGACTGCGGTTGGCGTACGTGAAGTGATCGTAGCAGCTCTGAGACGCACACACACACCCGTCGACCGTCAGATTACAGCCAGAAAACACACACTCCGGGTTTACGGGGCCCACAAACCTGTGTGTGTGTTCGTGCCGGCGAGACCCTGAGAGACGGAGAGCTTCAGGTCAAACACAGGCTACCGATTAATAATACACCATGATTAATGTGCCATAGACATTGTGTCTTACGCTAATGTAAACTTGGTTCAATGAAATTTAAATAAATGTAGCTTTATGCTCAACACAAATGATGTTTATTCAAAGATACATCATGCACAAACCTGTTAAAACACGCAAAGAAAACGTCATGCATGTTCATCCTCGTGAACGCATTTTAATTTATTTTACACACATAAAATACTTTAGAGTGGTGAAACGATTAATCACATGCAAAATAAAAGTTTGTGTTTACACAATATGTGTGTACTGAGTATTTAAAAACACACATGCATATTTAAGAAATATTTACATATACATACTGTATATATAGAATTTATGTATAAAAACAAATTTTTCTTAAATATATACACACTACACACACATATATTATGTAAACACAAACTTTTATTTTGGATGATTAATCGTTTCACAGCACTTGTTATAATATGTTTTAGTCACCTGTTTTCCCAGCATGCACGCAGGCGTCTCTGTCGGGATAGCTGTAGGTTCTGATGCAGGAGTGTTTGGACTCACACACACACCGTCCGTCGACGCGATCACATCCGGCCACCAGGGGGCAGCGCTCATCCTCCTCGTCTGAGTCTACCGCATCGGGTATCACTGTAGAGAAGAAGATAGTGTCACTGGCTGGTTACTTCCGGGTTCTGGACTGGCTGCAGTAACGCGTCTCTGTCCATGCGGGGGCGCTCGCGGTCGAGTGCAGAATGAATGGGAGTCAATCCGCCAGAAATCCACTTTTCTCAGGATGTAATTTTTTGTCAAGTAATTTGAAAGTTGCATTCAAAAGGGAGGGCTAAGATAATACACAAATTGCATTTTTAAGTTCACTTATCTGTTCTAAAAATCCGTTCAAACATGTGATGACGTCACACAATAGCAGAATGCTAGCGTGTTCGGGCCAACAACAGCCTAACCTGTAAGACATCAAAAGGACACAAGTACTCGTTCATTCGACTTTTGGCCTATAATCTATATTGAACTTGCGGAATCAACAATAAAATCCATGTTAATTTAACGACAAGCAGGTGAAAGAGACACATTTAGCCGTTTAGCCCCATAGACTCCCATTCATTCTGCTCTCGCCCGTGATCACCCCCAGTGGAATCATAATGGAACTGCAACCAAGATGGCTAATAGGAAGTGCCAAGGCTCTCCGTTAGACGGACTCTGGTGGACTGTGAAAACGGAGGTTTTTAAAAACGATGATCTAAGTTTAGCCATGTACCAGTCCAGTAGATATTGATGTTTATAGCGGTGTTGTGCCTGTAATGTGCTGTTCACTTTCACACTGTTGCTCAAATGTGTTTCTTCACACACTCTTCCTAACACAGTCACGTTTGCTGTCCTGCGATTAAACATGAGAGCAGTTTTAGTGTTTTAGACCAAACATATAATAGTGAGTGAAATACGCATGCGCGGTAAAGGTGAATTTAGTGTTTTCAGGCTTTTTTCAAAAGTTTCTCATCCGTACTTCAAACATCAGGAAACACTACGGAGAGTGTTTTTAAACAAAGACACCATTTACAAATGTATCCGGATTAATGTAGAGTCTTTCTGTCTCATTGCCCTTCACATGCATCTGTGTGTTTTCCTCTTCCAGCCGCATGTGTGTTGAATAAGTCTGGAGTATCGACGTCAGGTTCTCCTGAAGACCCCCCAGCCCGACACATGTGAATAAACAAAGACAAACGGCTTCGGCGGCTCCTAATGTCCCCCGTGATGCCCTCCTGGGGCTTGGCTCACAAACTCCCCAAACAAACCAGAAGAAACTGCTCAGGACACGCAACAGCCCAGCTCACAAAACCCTGTTCCACCAATGTTCTAACGTTCCCTTTTCCTCAATGTTCTCGGAACGTTCAAAAGGTCAAAACGTTTCTTCTTGGTCATGCGAACATTCCGTTTCATCGTTCTCTGAACACTGTGGAAATGTTACATTTGAATGAACATTCTGAAACAAAGTAGCAATGTTTAAAGTCCCCCTGTGGTGAAAAACACACTTTTTAATGTTGTTTATGTGTGTATGTGGTGTGTTTAATCCGCTGTAACACACACCGTGTGTAAGTTGATAAGTGGACAGCATTGCTGAGTATTTCCTCCTTAAAACTGCAGTGAACCAAAGACAGTCTCAAAAACACGCGACGTCACAAACCACCTTGTAACCAATCAGATCAACATGTGACCGTCAACCAGTGAGGGGTTAATTTGCATATTCATAGAACCGTGCATACGAAATGAGGCGAGGGTGAGTTACAGTCAAGATATTTAAAGACATGAAGAAGAAAAAATGCTTAGATATGTCATTCTGTTGATCAGAGATGAGTTTTAAGGGATAAAATGATTGACTACGGGTACAAACTGCAGTCTCTAGCAACAGTTGCCAGCATGCCTTGAGATTAGGGGAGTGAGGTTTACATGTGTTGCAAGATCTTGCTAGAAAAACAGCGAACAAGAACAAGCCCCCAATAACAAACCCAAATAAATAAGACCAAAATATCGTGACCCGCACACTGTAAAAAAATATTGTTGGTTTAACTTAAAAAAGTAAGTAATCTGGTTGCCTTAAAATTTTAAGTTCATTGAACTGGAAAAAGTGAGTTAATACAATGAAGAAGATTAATTTAACCATCAGAAACTCAAAATTATATGTTATCTGAACTAAATAAATTATTTAAGTTGATTTGACAAAAGAAAAAATGTTGTGATTACTACACTGTAAAAAATATTGTTGGTTTAACTTAAAAAAGTAAGTAACCTGGTTGCCTTAAAATTTTAAGTTGATTGAACTGGAAAAAGTGAGTTAATACAATGAAGGAGATTAATTTAACCATCAGAAACTCAAAATAATAAGTTATCTCAACTAAATAAATTATTATAAAGTTGATTTGACAAAAGAAAATATGTTGTGATAACAAATCTTGAAAATATTTTTTACAGTGCACCTGCTCACTTTAATAACTCAGTCATAGCTTCAGAATATTAACTTCAGTCATAACTTCAGAAAACTCGATCTAAGCTTAAACAACAAAAATGCTTCTATTAAGTGTGTGAAAGTCGACTGTGTCGTTTGTCGTTGTAATATTTCTTTGGTCAGAATAGCGATGTCAATCATCACCGTTCAGGAGTGTATTTAAATGTGCTTGTCACTCCTGAAACTTTACAGTGTGTACGTGCATGGAAGAACATTTGTTCATAAGTTTGACAGAACGTTCTCTGTTTGCTGGGAGATACATGCTTTTCTATTCTCCGATTCCTGAGATGAAATATAAAAACAGACACCGAGAGAGAGCGGATATGTGGACACTGATCTCTGAGCTGCGGCAAAAGCTTCCTAAAAGCACAAAACTTGGAAGTTTTTGAAGTATTTGCTCTCCCACTGATCTCAATGCTGGAGAAACAATGGAGATGAGGCCTAAATTGAGCAGTCCTGGTTTGTACAGTAACCGCATGCTTAGCCATGACTGAGCACTGAAAGCAAAGCATGCAGATGTTGGTGCATTTGGCACAGAAACGTCCCGTTTGTGGAAGACCACGTGGCGGTTGTTCTCACACACACGTCGCCATCACAAACAGGCTTTTCAGATGACCCTGCCAAAACTTTCCCTATTATTTCCGGTCACCTCGGAATGATCCGCTCCGCCAACGTCTTTCCATATCAACACTTCCTGCGAGGATATTTTCACATTTTCACACGACCCCAATCGCGCCCACAATGCACATCTGTTCACGTCTGCGGATTCTGTCCATCAGCACAGGATTTCCAAACTACAAAATCCATAAACACGGGAAATATTCCAATGCAAAAGTCTAATTTAGAATTATTTGACAATATAATCCTCATAGTGTAAAAAGCTCTGGATAGGGCATTCTGGCAAATCTACGATTTTATTCCCCGGGAAACGTACTTGTTAAACACAGACTAGTCTGTAATAAAAACAGCTGCTATCTCAAGTCCACATGATAACTAGTTTAATCAGTTTGCAAACATGTTACGTCCTTCTCAGTGTTGCCGTTTCTCTTATAATTGTTGCGGGTCAAATGAGGGAAGCTGAGATGTAATCTCACGGACTGAAGGACACGGAGGCGTTTTGTCTGGCCGTTCCGGACTGATAGTCGACACTAAACGAGTGCTATTCTTCATACTGGACTGAGTGTTTTGGGAAACATGTTAGATAACACTCATTATTCACTCAGAAATAACAATATGAAACCAATGTTAAAATTTTGGCCGATACGATAACTCTTTATATTTGAAAGACGATAGCCGATATATTGGCTGATAAATGTAAATTTGAGAGCCTAATTACAAAAATACAAGTCTCACCAATAAAATCCGCATCCAAAAACACACAATTATAATGTCACGTAGCCGATATGACAGGCTTGCTGCATATAGCACTGAACTGAAGTGATTTCAATCATATTTCAACCCATCCTGTTGAACAGTGCGCATCTTATTTTTTTAATCTTTTTTACTATTTTGTTATCAGTGCCAATCACAATAACATTAAAATGAACGTATATCGGTGATACTGATATTACGGTGGCCGATATATCGTGTATCTTAAATATGCAGTACTGATGATGTAGAAGTGGCTAATTAGCATTTTTGCAGGTTTTTGTTTGTAGAGCAAAATAAACGAAGCCCTGCAGAAATATAGCAGCTCTTTATTTTCCATAAATGCTGCACAAATGTTCGCACACTATTAAAAATGACGTTTTTTTTTTGCAGTAATGCCATACAAGATCTTTTTTTGTTTTTGCACATTTTTTTTGTGTTTTATTATTAGTTTTTATTTATTTCAGGAAATGGCACAGAAAGTACAAGGCAGACAAAATATTGTTAAGTCATACAGTTTTTTATTATTATTTTTATTTTTTTTAACTGACAATCAAAATCTGCCTGAAAAGGAGTGGGAAGAAGAACATTTATTTAATCCCACCTCAGATTTTAATCTACATCTAGTAATTTACATTTTCTAAATAACCTTTAAAGGTTCAATGGATGTCAGTAGAGTGCATGAGAACAATGCGACTGGATGTACCCCAAAAAAGACAGATTTACAATATTCGACGAGCTCTTTTCATTTGCACATCTTCTATACGCCTTCAGCCACGTCTGAATATAAATAACCTCATTAATGTCTTTGCTAATGGATAGGAGGGGGGTAATTATAATTAATGATGACAATCATGAATAATGTATTACTATGATAATGAGAGACGCTGGTTAATCAGTGGCTGGAATCATTATTTAACCAAAATGCTCATATATTTTCTTTGTTTGCGCTTCCTAAACCTCCACACATGGAGAGTAACTTAAAATCAGCAGTAAAATGACTTTCAGGCTTTATACTGTAATAGTTCTGCGGCTGATGTGGGATTGAGAGACGTCCTCAGAGACCAGACTCATTCATGCACTCCGGATCGGGATTAACCCTTAACACTCACTGGTAAATAAAGCCTAATCAAGGACACGATCCCTTGGGATGAATCCCAGACCCCACAGGAGGAAGATGAAGACGAGGGGTAATTGAGCTCCAGAACCTTCCCACAGACTCGCTTCTGCTTTCACTCAGCTGTCCGGAGCAATTCAAGAGTTTAGACACAGAGAAAGTCCAGCTCCGGTCAGGCATTATGACCCTTTCTGTACTGAACTCTTGGAAAAGAGCCTAATATAACATCATAGATCAAATCCCATCATCCCCAGTTTCATCAGCATCATTTTGAACGTATGACCTGAATGACATTTCACACTGAATCTTATGAATAACTAGTTCTTGATTATCAGACAATTTGGACATTATAAACCTCATCAGAATAAGTGTAACTTTCTCTCCACCCACTGAAACGTACAGTTTTATCAATGGTCTTTTGGACATGTACGGTACCATTAAAATACTGGTAACACTTTACAATAAGGTTCATTAGTTAACTACATTAGTTAACATGTACTAAGAATGAACAATACTTCTTCAGCATTTATTAATCTTAGTTAATCTTAATTCCAACATTTACTAATACGTTATTAAAATCAAGTAATAGTTAGTTAATGCACTGTGAACTAACATGAACGCACAATGAACAGCTCTATTTATATTAACTAACATTAACAAAGATTAATAAACACTGTAACTAATGCATTGCTCATCGTTAGTTCATGCATTTACTAATGAACCTTATTGTAAAGTGTTACCAAAATACTATACTGTACTATTTGGACATGTTACTGTGGCAATGCCATGTTTTTAGACAATTAGCACGGTATTTTTCAAAGTATCTATTCTGTTATATATCAATCAGAACCATATCAAAGTAGCCTAACCCACTCTAATTACATTAACAAAGATGATTAAATCCTCTAACAAATGTATTGCTCATTGTTAGCTCATGTCAGCTAATAAATGAATCTTTTTGTAAAATGTTACCACAACAACTTCTCACTGATTTCATCTAAATCCACCCTCCTCATCTTCATCATCATCCTCATCAGATGAGCTCGTTTACACTGCGTCATGTTGAAGGTAAAGCTCGTGCGCGTCACTGACCTCTGCAGACACCTGTCTCAGGTACGAGCGCGGGTCCGGTTCTGTTGCGCGCGGCACAGGTGAGTCCGGATCCGCAGTAACCCAGAGTCCAGTCCGGTCCTCCACACAGCTCGAGCTCCAGCCGAGAGCACTGGTCACAGCACCCGCACGGGTCACGGGCCAGAACCCGGCCAGAACCGCACCCGAGCGCGCTCAGGGGCGGACACGAGCGGAGCGCGCACGGTGCGCATTCACGAGCCCCCAACGCCAGAGCGCAGAACCCAAATACACTCAAAACGCACAACACACTCTTTTGACACATTGTGACGCGTTTTTGGTGAACTTTACAGAGTCTCGAGCGTCTCAAACATGAACCTCCAGATGCGCAACTCCACAATAAATCCAATGTTCAGCAACTTTCAGTGTCACGATCCTCGCCGAGAATGATACAAGTTTCCAGTCACTGAAAAGTGTTCGTAAAGCTCGTACAGTAACTGTGAGATGATGAGGATGAGGAGTCTATCCTTGTCACTGAATCACTAACACTGAGTCTCAAACACGCGTTACACGGAGAGAGACATCATAGCCACGCCCCCTGCTAATGATTGCCGCGGAGCTCGTCCAATCACACGCAGCGAAAGGAACAGGCGGATGAATGAATGAAGCAACAGTTCTTGTACTACCTAACTGGGATACAGCAGATAGAGGAATGATGATGATGTGAACTTCATGAATGCGAAATGATTTATGAGGCTCGTCACAAAGTTCTGGTTTCATCTCCTCTCCTCCGTGAGAGAAAGCCTGAACATTCATTCACTCGTGTGTGTCTCTTGCTGATGTGTGTGTAGGAGCTGTTTGGACATATTAATGCATCTCCCGTCTCACTCCCTCTGTCTGTCTGTCTCTGGATGTGCATTTCTCCTTTATTAATGATGATTATAATCACTATTAATCAGGTCTGTCTGATAGTGCTCAGTCAATGCTCACTCAAAAAGTGCAACCTCACCAAAATAACAGTGAGCCTCAATATAAATGTATTAAACGGCATTAATCCGAATATCCACCATATTTTCTAAATGCATGTTTTATATATATATATATATATATATATATATATATAGGCTAATATACATTTTACAGTGAGTGAACAATTAATCCGTGCATGCATTCGTTTCAGTTTATTATGTTGAAGTGTAATCACAAGTGACACGTGTTTATAAGCCCCGCCCCTGCGATAGTGCCACGCCCACATATCAACATCCAATCAACAACCGATGCACAGAACCAAGCCCCGCCCTACTTTTTCTTTTTCAGTACATCACTATATACGGGAGAAAAGTGAGTTCAGGCACAAGTCTACTTCTGAGATTTATGGCCAGAAATTGATTTTTTTGTTTATTTACTGAACTGAAATATGCATCATTACAGAATTATATCCTTCAGAAGCGGTGTTGGGGGAAACGCAATAAAGTAACTTGAGTTACGTAATCAGATTACTAGATTACCTCCCTCCCTATTGTATTTAATTTACAATAAAATATCAAAGTTACTTTTTTAAATAAGTAACACTAGTTACTTTTTCACATTTATTGACTGACAGCTCTTCTGTCCTCATGTTGAGAGAAATAAAGTGTGTGTGCGTGTGAGTGTGTAAACATGATGGTTATTTTAGTTCTAGGCTAAATGTGAGCATGCATTTACTCGTCGCACTTGCACGAAATCATTCAGTATTCCTCAAAATCAATAATGTCAGACAATCTCAGAATTGTTTGCAAAACTTTTATAATTATACTAAATTACACAAATACACTTTATGTATTTAATCTCACTTTATTAACCAATGTCTTTGTTGCTGACCTGACCAGTGATGATCTATAATTCAACCACTAATAAGACAATTTATAAGAGTGTTGAATTTATTAGATTTATAAGAGTGTTGGACTTATTCTCTTATATTTTATTAGTAGCTAAATCTGCATTTCCTTTAGGTTTGCCAAAAATAGATTTTTTTGTTGTTATTAAAAACAAAAAAGCCAGTCCCGCTTATTGAGAAAACATAACGCAAAACAATGCATTACTTTCATAAAAAGTAACTAACATAACACCACTGTAAAAATAATTTCAAGATTTGTTATCACAACATATTTTCTTTTGTCAAATCAACTTTATAATAATTTATTTAGTTGAGATAACTTATTATTTTGAGTTTCTGATGGTTAAATTAATCTCCTTCTTTGAATTAAGTCACTTTTTCCAGTTCAATCAACTTAAAATTTTAAGGCAACCCAGGTTACTTACTTTTTTAAATTAAACCAACAACATTTCTTACAGTGTAGTAATCACAACATTTTTTCTTTTGTCAAATCAACGTAAATCATTTATTTAGTTCAGATAACATATAATTTTGAGTTTCTGATGGTTAAATTAATCTCCTTCATTGTATTAACTCACTTTTTCGAGTTTAATCAACTTAAAATTTTAAGGCAACCAGGTTACTTACTTTTTTAAGTTAAACCATCAATATTTTTTTACAGTGTAGTTACGTTTTTTTTTGCTAACGCAATATTGCAATGCATTACTTTGAACAGTAATTCCCCAGCCAGCCCTGCTGAAAGGTTGCAGTGTTTGTGGTGGTTCTCGGGCTCACCGATCAAGTCGAGACACGCGTGTCCAGCCGCTCCTCGTCTCTGTGATCTCCGGATTCTTTCACCTGTTTGATGAGCCAGCAGGTGAAGCTGCAGCATGCAGAGAAATATCCGTCGTCTCAGCGTCTCGGTCAACTATAGACCCATGTAGTCCGGCTATGAGGAACACACTTCTGGACTCAATAACCTTGAGTTTGCTTAAATGTATGTTTAGAGATGTATAATAGTCCATCATAGCAAAGTAAACCGTGATTTCATTTCTTTGTTATCTAATTAATGTGTAGTGCATTCACTCTAAAAAATGCTGGGTTGTTTCAACCCAAATTTGGGTCAAATATGGACAAACCCAAATTTGGGTTAATTTAAAAAATGTACAGTTGAAAGGGTAAAAATTTTAAATGACATTTTTAACCCAACATTTGGGTTTGTCCATATTTTACCCAATTTTGTGTTAAAACAAGCCAGCATTGTTTAGAGTGTTCTTGGCCTCTAGTTTAAAGTTTCTCTGACAGCCCAAACTTCGCCTTGTTTTAGCCTCGACGTCTGGGATGTGTTTGGACGGATATCAGACGTCTTTTAAATGCGAAATTGCTCGCTGGGAAAGTAGCAGCACAGTCGAGGAATCATTCATTTCTGAAGCGACTTCACATTTACATTTATTTATTTAGCAGACGATTTTATCCATGATGAGAGTAATAGAAGCAGTGAAACTAACACACTCTAAAAATTGGGTTACATTTTTTAATGACATTTTTAACCCAATGTTTGGGTTTGTCTATATTTGACCCAAAGTTGGGTTAAAACAACCCAGCATTTTTAGAGTGCAGGACAACAATACGCAAGTGCTGCGACCCTTCCCAGATTAGTCTGACGCAGCACATGTACTTTTATTTATTTTTAGAAACAGAATAGAAAAGAAGACAAAGTGTTAGTGCACTCTAAACAATTCTGAGTTGTTTCAACCCAAATTTGGGTCAAATATGAGTGTATTTTTGTGTCCATCGTATAAAGACTTGCCTTTAACATGAGCACTACACTCTAAAAAATACTGGGTTGTTTTAACTCAATTTTGGGTCAAATATGGACACACATTACATTTTTAAACCAACGTTTGGGTTTGTCCGTATTTGACCCAAAGTTGGGTTAAAACAACCCAGCATTTTACTAAAATGTGTAAATGTAGATTTCCAGCAACCTGTAGTTTTAGCTTAACTATAATAATGAAGACACGTGTTATTCCCCCACAAAAGGCTGCTGTGCCCTCTGACCCCATGACCTTTGACACATAGGTGTAAACCTGACCCGAGAAGTCGTGGTCTGTGTGTGACTGATGACTCTATCTTCTCCATGCGCAGGAGAAGAGGTGTGACGTGTGTGTGTGTATCTCCTGAAGAGCTGAGATCCTGCCGCACTTCCTCCTCCTCATCTCCACACACTCACTGCAGTCGACTCAACCCAGAGATAGTGGCATGGACAGATGTATTATTATCCGGTACGCTCGTTCAAAAGCTCTTTAATAATGCTCTCAAATCTTTACATCATTCATGAGTGCTTTTTAGTTCGTATAATGTTCTTAAATGTTGCTATTTGCTGGGTTGTTTCGAGCCAAATTTGGGTCAAAAATGGACAAACCCAAACATTGGGTTAAATATGTAATTTAAAAAAAAAAATACAGTTGAAAGTGAAAGTTGAAGTTGGGTTAAAATTTTAAATCACATATTTAACCCAAGATTTGGGTTTGTCCATATTTGACCCAATTTTGGGTTGAAACAACCCAGCATTTTTTAGTGTTGTTTCCGAGAAAAAATTCAAAAGTAACGTAATGATACAATGTTCCTTTAACGTTCAGATAACCAAGAAAAAACATATTTTCAAGAACAATCTGGACCTCTAGATTTGGTCATTTTGCATTTTCAATCCAATTTTGTGTGAAAACATATGTAAGTCTGATCAAAACAAGATCGATTTTCACAGATTTTCTTTCTGGATCATTCAAAACACACACACACACACACGCATTAATTGGTTATTAAATGTAGTGCTGTTGTTATCTTAAAAAGCTATTTCCACCCTATAGAAATTAGTTTTGTTGGTTTAAATGATGTATTTAGGTTTATTCCGTGAGGTTAAATAATATCTTTGACTTTACTGTAATAAAACCAGTTCAAATTGGACGTTTGGATATGTTCGATACACCGAACATTTGTAATATATATATTAAGCAAATTTACTCACCAGGCCGATAATGATAACATTAAAAATGAACATATCGACTGATACCGATATGGTGGCCGATGTATCATAGCAATATATATCTGGTTGCAATTTTTGCAGTGCATCCAAAGCAAGGAGCAAAAGCTTATTGCATATTGCAAATGTATATGTTATCTTGTAATTGTATGCACATAAAAGACTGCAAGCTGCATTCTGCATCATTTCTTCAGGTAAATTATTGTCATTTGCTCTGTGAATGAGAGCCGTGCAGTGATGTGGTTTCTCATTGTGGAGCTGCTGAGTTTTATTTGAAACATTCAGCCATAAATTTCAGGCTGTACCCCCAGTACAGTGGCATGTGTGCCAGGAGATTGTGCAATCAGGAAAAACTCACACAGAACTAGCTTCAAATCCTCCGTTCTCACAATCCCACTGCGCTTCAAGAGCATCCAAACGGGCATTTCTCACCAACCTAAAGATCATAAACACACTTTCTCAGCACTGTTTGTACAGCTCCAGTGAGACGCTTCATTTGGCAGGTTGAAGGCGAACGGCAGATTATGCGACAGACTAAATCAGTGGCGGCGCAGGGGTCAGGGGTCAGCGAGTTCATGGGACGCTGATACTGATCGTCATTAAACGGGGGATTTCTTACCTCGAAACATTCACACA